GAGGGACAGCAATATGGGGGGATAGGGTCTAGGATGTATGAGGGACAGCAATATGGGGGGATAGGGTCTAGGATGTATGAGGGACAGCAATATGGGAGGATAGGGTCTAGGATGCTGCAGAGGCAATGCTATAGATGATGGTGGGATGGTACTGGAACGACGTGGCAGCTCTGTGGGAAGCTGCAAGGAGCGCAGACAAGGAGGCAGATAGTCAGGAGACCCTTGTCAGAAACAAAATTAGTCTTAACATTAGTCTTAACACTAACATTTTCTCGTAGACCGTCGACAGCGCTTTGTTTTGTATTGTTACGAAGAAATCTGCCAGGATTTTTCATTCAGGTAACTTCGCAGCGTTTCTGTCGACGGACCAAGAGAAAAGTTAATGTTAAGACTAATGTTAAGACTAATTTTGTTTCTGACAACAGGCCCCAGGACGCTAGTGCATGTCGGTGCGTGTGAAGAATCAGAGTGAGCTCTCACCTGTTCTTTGATTGTGCGGGCTTTGTAGTCTCTCTCCTCACGTACGTGCTTCACCAGATCCTCCTTCCGCCGCTGTATGGTCGCGATCAGTGTATCACAATCCGCTAGTATGCCCTTCTCAAACTCCTTACAATTCTCCTGCGAAAAACAACAACAACAGACATCTTGTTTACGTCCTTGTTATTATAAGTTGTTACTGGTAAATAAACATTTATATTGATTTAATTTTGTTAGTTATAATCAGCTTATTATATTGTAAATTATTGGCTGATTTCTTTATTAGTTATATATCTATTATTAGTTAATACTAGTTATACTTATTTCGATTTAATTCCTTAGTTATATTTAGTTTATTATATTTTCAATTATTAGCTGATTTATTTATTTATTATTTACATATCTATAATTACTTATTACTAGTGAATATTACATTAGTTAGGAACTTAGGAAATGGTATTCCGTTACTTCTCAGATGCGACTGCTCGCACGCTGCCCTCACAAAGGCGATTTCATATTAATATTGGGTTTGCTTTAGAAGAGGAACGCGGGTGATTAATTCAACACGCTGATAACAAGGGGTGAAGGGGTGAGGGGTGATTGAGATGAAGGTGATTCGCGCCGTGTATTAAACCATGCAGCTCGCATAGCAAAACTTGATTAAAATGCAAATCTCCATTGATACGTCAGAAAGCTCAAGACCACCCGTGATCTCACAGTGGGCTATATACATAGACGCGCGCACGCACGCACGCACGCAGACACGCACGCACGCACGCACGCAGACACGCACGCACGCACGCACAATCGCGCACGTGCGCACGCACGATCACGCGCACATACTCACGCACCATCGCGCGCACACACGCACGCACAATCGCGCACACATACGGACGCGCGGTGATTGTGACAGTGAGAGGTCTAGAAGCTGGGAAGACAATAATTATGGTACACACTTCCGATCCTGAGTAATACGGCGTTATTCATGGCAGCCGCCTGTGTGACACTGCCGGCCATTCAGCACCGCGTTATGAATTATTGATTGCTATTACCTCACTGAAGCTAGAAGCCAGAAACGATCGCTAGTTTGCTTTACGAGTTCTCTACACGATGCAATAATCTATATCATCAGCATAAAATTGCTACTTAAAGAATAACCACGCCAGGGAGACCTGGATGTGAACATGGTCTATGATTTAGTAGAATTTAGGGGGATATGGTTGCGGTAAATGTGAGAGGGGCAGAATCACGGAAGAATAGGGTAAAAGAGAGTATGAGTATAGAATAGGGTAAAAGAGAGTATAGAATAGGGTAAAAGAGAGTATAGAATAGGGTAGAGAATAGCTCAAAGGTATGGGTAGAGCTGGCATACGGGCGGGGTAGGGATATGTGGTGTAGGAAGGCGGTGGGGGATTGAATCGATGATGTAGGCGAAGTGGCGAAATACGGCGGAAGATGGTTAATGATGCGGCAGGGACAGGAATTTAGAACAAAGGGTTCGGGATGTGGACGAGACACGAATACGAGGCAGGGGGTATGATCAAGCATCCGGGGGAGGGGCAGAAAAATGTGGGAATTAGGGTTGAGAGCGTGACTTGGGGGCAGGAATATGGGCGGAGTGGTGGAAAGAGAGGACGACGCGACGTGGGGGAGGGGGAACAGAATCTGAGATGTGCGAGGGACAGCAATATCGAGGGATGGGGTCTAGGATGTGCGAGGGACAGCAATATCGAGGGATGGGGTCTAGGATGTGCGAGGGACAGCAATATGGAGGGATAGGGTCTATGATGTGCGAGGGACAGCAATATGGAGGGATAGGGTCTATGATGTGCGAGGGACAGCAATATGGAGGGATAGGGTCTAGGATGTGCGAGGGACAGCAATATGGAGGGATAGGGTCTATGATGTGCGAGGGACAGCAATATGGGGGATAGGGTCTAGGATGTGCAGAGGTCAGCAATATGGAGGGATAGGGTCTAGGATGTGCGGAGGTCAGCAATGTGGAGGGATAGGGTCTAGGATGTGCGGGGAACAGCAATATGGGGGATAGGGTCTAGGATGTGCGAGGGAGAGCAATATGGGGGATAGGGTCTAGGATGTGCGAGGGACAGCAATATGGAGGGATGGGGTCTAGGATGTGCGAGGGAGAGCAATATGGAGGGATAGGGTCTATGATGTGCGGAGGTCAGCAATATGGGGGATAGGGTCTATGATGTGCGAGGGACAGCAATATAGGGGATAGGGTCTAGGATGTGCGAGGGACAGCAATATGGGGGGATAGGGTCTAGGATGTATGAGGGACAGCAATATGGGGGGATAGGGTCTAGGATGTATGAGGGACAGCAATATGGAAGGATAAGGTCTAGGATGCTGCAGAGGCAATGCTATAGATGATGGTGGGATGGTACTGGAACGACGTGGCAGCTCTGTGGGAAGCTGCAAGGAGCGCAGACAAGGAGGCAGATAGTCAGGAGACATTAGTCTTAACACTAACATGTTCTCGTAGACCGTCGACAGCGCTTTGTTTTGTATTGTTATAAAGAAATCTGCTAGGATTTTTCATTCAGGTAACTTCGCAGCGTTTCTGTCGACGGTCTAAGAGAAAAGTTAATGTTAAGACTAATGTTAAGACTAATTTTGTTTCTGACAACAGGCCCCAGGACGCTAGTGCATGTCGGTGCGTGTGAAGAATCAGAGTGAGCTCTCACCTGTTCTTTGATTGTGCGGGCTTTGTAGTCTCTCTCCTCACGTACGTGTTTCACCAGGTCCTCCTTCCGCCGCTGTATGGTCGCGATCAGTGTATCACAATCCGCTAGTATGCCCTTCTCAAACTCCTTACAATTCTCCTGCGAAAAACAACAACAACAGACATCTTGTTTACGTCCTTGTTATTATAAGTTGTTACTGGTAAATAAAC